TTAAAATTAACTACTCAGTAGTTGTGATTATCTGAAACAATACAGATAGTTAATACTGCGTTTAAATCTGCTGTGCTTTTAAGTATCTGGCCTGCTTCCCTTGAAAAATGCTAGAAGAAATGAGTTAAGTAATGGAGAGACGTTCCTAGACTAAGTGACATCTGCCTTAAAACTTCAAATTAAAGTTAATTAACTGGCAGACTTATCTTGTACACAAATACTGCAGCCAGAGAAGGAATGGGCTGCTTGGCTGGATGCTACTTGGGATGTAGCACATGGAGACCCAAGGCATTCTTTTTCACTTCTGCTGAATTAGTGCTTTTGAAAACTCTCATGCTTTGGGCTCTCTGGCTCTTAAATCATGTAAACTTTGAAAGTTTTTGATTAAAAGCCTAACTAGGAAAAGTGCTTATCTCTTGTAAGTCACAGTGTGCTTTACTGAAGTTAAGTTTGTGATTAATACAGCCCATTGTCTTCTACAAGAGACTTTGATTTAAAAAAATACGGCAGTACTAGGCCTCAAACACTTGCCAGCTTTCTATGTTGTCCCAGTGTTAGAGGTGATTTGAATTTCAGGGAGTTACATCTGTTAGGCTAGAGTAGCCTTTTGAGGAAGGGGAAAAGGGAGGGAAAAAAAAAAAGCAATTCTATGCAGTCAAGAAAGTATCTCAGCAAAGCCTGATCAATAGGCTGTTCTCTCTCAGGAACTGCATTTCACTTCTGCAGAGCAGCTCAGCTAAAGCTACCTGCTGGAGACTGCACAGCAGCGTCCTGGGCCCTGACGTCAGCAACATGCGATCGCGAGGCCCGGCTGGCATTGGCTGCCTCTGTTGTCTCCATTCACTCATCAGCTCTTTTTTTTTATTTCCCTCCTCCTAAATGACACTGCTCTGGGATTGGGATTTAGCTCAAGCTATGCTGCTTGGGGAAGCTAGAAAGAGGGGACTTAGAGTTGCTAAAGAAAGAAAGGAGGAGAAAAAAAAAAAAAAAGATGCCTGCTAGTCTTGTCATTGCTGCATGCCAGGCAGTTGCTGAGGTCTGAACCTGCTCTTGGGAATGCAAGGATGGAAGGTCCTGTTCAGCTGTTGCCTTTTAGTTTTGGAAAGATCTGTGTAGTAAAGCTGTCCTAGCCGTTTGTAGGGGAGGGCTGTTTTATGTATCTGGTGCTAACACTAGGTTCTTTATTTTAAAAAAAAAAAAAGAAAGAAAGAAAAAAAGGATCCATTGTGCTGTTAATCACTTAAGATCAATGTTCTTTCTCTCCCAAGAAAAGGGAGGAAAGAAAACCATTAAGATCTTTCACTCTAATCAGAGCTTGTTTTTTAGACAAATTGAGACTGTGCCTGTGGCTAGCTCAGAGTTGGACGCAGTGATATGGAAAGAGCAACGCTGCTGTTCTTGAAAGCATTTCTATTAACTCCAAGCCAGCTTTATTTCACTTTACTGTAGGATTTTAGCTCTCTAATGTTCATCAAGTACAGTATATAAAACTGGATTTTCTTAGATTTAAATCAAAATCTATAGACTCTCTAAGGCTCTCTGTAGCTTCTGATAGAAACATCACAGGATTTCTTCTGGCAAGGCAGTTAGTACTGCATAGATATCACTAAAAACTATTTTAGTTTTATCAGTTATGTCTATTCCAGCTAGTTGCGCCAGCACTCTGAAAGCAGCAGCGTGGTGGTTGCTGCTCTGTTACAGCAGACTTGTCCCACTGTTACAAAATGCTCCTCTCATGTCATTACAGGTTCTGAGTTGCAGAGTCTAAGCTACTTTTTCTCCAGTCATATCAACTGCAGTCATATCAAGCTGAGAAGATAGTCAAGAAAAATGAAAATGGCTGGGCATGTTAGTTTTGTGGGCAAAGCAATAGCAAAGGCCTGTTTCTGTAGACAGTACTTAAGTGAATAATCCCATTACTATTCAAAGAACTCAAAGCATTGAAAGTGAAGAACTAGATCCATAGCACTCTGAAAACAGAGGATCCACCCTTGCAAGTGCTTTTGTATTTTTAAAATGTGCAAGCTATTAAAGCGTATTTTAAAGTCTATTGTGAAAAAGACTGACTTCCATGAGTCAGGTTTTACAGGACCCAGTCCAAGCCTTCGGATTGTCTCACGGGTAGTAAAGTTGTGCAGGCAAACCCATGATAGAAACAACTGATACCTACCTTTTATAGGGAAGGAGGAGGGAAAAAAAAACCCAACCTGTAGTGAGAATGGTTCATGTAATGTGTAGTACTGTGTGCCCTTTTACTAAACTCTCCTTCCCTACAGTTTTGGTCTGTTGGTTTCCTTTTCTGTGCCCAGTGCTTGGGAGCGAGCCCTAACAACGCTGCAAAATAATTCCGTAGTATACAAAGGAGCAAGACTTAAGCGTACAAAGAGGGCTAGAGAAGTATTCAAGTACTCTAGAGAATACTTGAAAGCCTCTTCTAGAAAGCCCCTAATACCTTGTTCTATTACCAGTGCAAAACAGGCTCTTACACTGTAAAACCTTGAAGTATTTGGTATGTCCAAGCCTTAGTTTCTAAAAAATGAAATCACTGCTGGTGCTGGTATGTTTTTTAAAAAATAAAAAAAATTCTCAATGCTATTGTGTTTTCTACATGAAGCTTCATGTACTTGATGAAGTACCTGAAGACTTGTTCATGTTCTTGCACTGAGCTTGCTCAGACCAGATTCCGAACTTACAAAAGATTCTGGGGTAGTTTGAAAACCGTTCGTTGCTGTTTAGTTGCTGTTTTTTTTTTTGAATTCAGATTTATTACCGTGTGCGGATACCGATCAGACTCAGAACTTTGTTGCTTGTGTCTTGTTGCTTGCTTAGAATTTGCAGAGTAGCCAAGCCCAAATGTGAAGCAGGGAAGAAGGAGGAGCTGAGACCACTTTCTAGTTCAGGAACTTTGAATGGGAGAGATGGAACAAAATAGGGGGCTTTAGATAAAATTCATTCCACAGGCTTGGTCTGGATGTATGCTCCTCTCACTCTGCAAAGGCAGAATAAGACTCGTAGAGCTTCAAGCAAAGTAGGGTTACAAACGTATCTTATTCTCAGTAGTATGCGGTAGGAGTGCTGCTTAGGTGTTACACAAACAACTGTAGTAGTTGAGGTAGGACTGAACGCAGCCTCCTAACCAGGAAGCTACTTCACTGAATCCAAAGGTTTGCACCTTCCTTTTATGAGACCTGTTATTGCCCTGGTAGATATGTGCACACCTGAAAGCTCCTGGCTCACCTCACAAAAAGAACCTGTATGTGACAGTGTAACGCTCAGTGCCACCGAATGAATGCTGCTATCTGAATCAGGTGTTTGGTCAGCAACCCCAGGGTGCAAACGTCTGGGTCAAGGTTCAGGTTTAGTTTAGATTGGCTCGATTAAAGCATCTGCTGGTTTGTCTGAGAACAGTGAAGTTACTGTGTGTTGGATATTCAACATGAAATGGTATTTGAAACTGCAGTTGGAACACGGTATTTTCTCTTCTTTAATGTGGGAGGTGTGGCTCAGAGGTGAGCAGAGGAATGGTGCCAAGTAGCACACCTCTCAGCCTTAAGCCACTCTGCACTGAGGCTAGAGATCAAAATCTTCTTTCTACTCACTGTATTGGCATTTTTGCTTGTACACCAGGACGGTGCTCATCTGAAAGATGGTGATCGTTCAGTGTGCGTCAGACCTGCTCTCTGATGCTTGTGTAATCTGATGGCTAGGACATAGGACTAGGAGAGGAAATGTTCAGGGTCTGACTTAAAAACGTGCTAGCAGATTATCATGGGTAGCTGCTTTATCTTTCACTGAACTCAAGTAATAGCTGTCCTTCCAAAGCATTCTGTGGTTGTCTCATGAAATGCCTGGAAAATGCTCGATTTCAGTAGTAGTGTTTCCGATGAGCTCTGAGTCCCTCTGCAAAGCAAGGGAGAGCACTCATTCTTGAAGAAAATAGTAATGGATTTGTGCTGACAGACAAGTCTCTACCAGTGTATTAGTATACCTGTGGCTGCTGAATTATTCTTGGACTAGGACTTAGTCAGGATCATGCTAAAGTTACTTGTTTGAGTTGTTGTAAAAACTGACTGGATGGAAGGAGCTTTAGAGGGATGCGTGTCCTTACATTGTGTAGTCTATTCTGAGAACAGAAGTAAGCCCTGTTTGCACTGCATTCAGAACAGGGGAATTCTAGGCAGATATGCCCTTCCAAAGTAACAGAATTTGAAGCCAAGATAAATCTTGATACGCATATACAGTTTTGGCTGTCTTTGGGGGACTGTAGCTTCCCCTTTCCTTTAGTGAAAGTTACTGGGCTGTGTGACTTAAAGAGGTGCTGCTAACTTAGAGCTAGATGCCCTAACACTGAGCTGATGTCCCTTGTACTCTATCGCCTCTTGTCCTGTATGAATTACTTTTACAAAAAGTTGTAGTTTCTGTTGCTAATGGGGAGCCCAAAACCAAATCCAGTGTTGAACGTGAGCCTTGGGATCTGTAATGGATGTGCTGCTGCCTAGCCACCGCTTTCTCGCCAGCAAAGTTGGTTTTTCCCTCTGAAGGTGGGCACGCTTGTGTGCCCTTACGGGTTTCCAAAAGGACTTGTGATTCTTTAGCAGCTGTAGCTTTTCCATAGCTATGCACAACACTCTTCAGGCTGTAGCATTCAAGTACAATACATCTTTGTAATTTGTTTAGAAGTGTAGGCAGTGATAGTCCATGTGGTCATGCCTGAGCCAGTCTTCCTTTTAACAAAAGCTCCCATTTCCTCTTATTCCTTACCCTTCTTCCTCAAATCCATGTTTTGTTTGAGTACTAGGAAATACAGGATCACAGTGCAGCTGTTGACATCAAAGTACTTTAAAAATCACAGATTCTCTTTATTTTGAGAAAGTATGAAATCCAAGTTCATGCTTTTTTTCACTTGTTTATCTTGGTGGTTTTTCGCTGTCATGTTTCCATAACATTTCAGTGATATTTTCCTCTATTTACCTTTCTTTGTGTCTGTTCTTTGTTTTCAGCTCTTCCTCCAAAGCCCCCCAAACCAATGGCTCCAGTCAATACAAACGGGATAAAGGACAATTCCAGTTTCTCTCTGCAGGAAGCAGAGTGGTACTGGGGGGACATCTCAAGGTAAACCTTATTTATTATTAAAAATACAGTGGATCTGTTAGACTTTAGGGGAAGAATAAGGTGTCCATTTCAGACAGCGTTTTACAGGAAGAAGTGCTTTAAGACTATACTTGGCCAAGTACCTTAAATGCTAGAGCGTTCCACTGGATTCAAGACTTGCGTTTGTGTTAGGGTTATTGTTCTGGAGCAGAGATTGTCAGTCTTGATGACAGTTATTTTCTTGAGTTTTAAACTTTCTCCAGATATATAAACTCTTCAAAAATTTGAGATTTCTTTGGTTCAGAAGAAAAGTGCTGAGTGTGCTATCTAATAATGAGTTTTCTAAGCATACAGGGCTGGGATGCATGCAGTTCAGGAAACTTTTAGTTGGAGGTTTGTTTAGAATAAAAGGAATTTTATTTTTGGTTTCTTCAACATTTTGTTAGAATTGCCTCTCTACTAATTTCTATTATGTGGTAGTATAAAAATTGGTCTTACAATGCTAACCGTCACAAGCTGTCACATAGCAGACGATACAGATACATATACTAAATAGTATTTCTTTAGGAAATACTTTGCCATGTGCTTGAGAAAAGCCTGGATTAGGTTCAGCAAATAACATACCGTTTTTTTTGTATACTTAATTTAATTGAAAAAAAGAACTGAAGAGTCTGGTCATCTCATCCTCTTAAGGCACTGCTGAAAAGTCTAGAACGTGGACCTGTCGGGAGAAACATGAGCATGCTGGGCTTGTGATCAGAAGTTGTTCAAACTTGTACACATAATGCTTTGAAACAGTTTGTCAGATAAAAGCAAGGAAAGTGTATTTGTCACAGTAGTTCATTGAAGTTCTGAGAAGGGAAATAAAGTTTTCATATCTTTATTGTACCACCCTTATCTCTAGAGTAAACTCGCATGGATCTGGTTTTTGAAGGGCCTCAGCAGTGGTATTTTTCTGTTAATACTAAATCAAAGTAGAGTGGGAGAACCTGATCACACAACCTGCTAGGCAGGGTTTAAAACGGCTCAACGTTGGTTTAAGTTGTTGACTGTGGATTTGTTTCTCATTTACCAATGCACGTGATGACAAGAGGAGATGCAGTACAAACCATGCTGGAGTGGCTTTGTTGGATTAAAATGTGGTACATGGATCGTAAGCAATTTCATCTTTACATGTACTAATTTGGCAGCCAGCAGGTACAGACTGCATTGGGCTGACAAGTCAGCAACCAGGTTCTCAAGAATTTGTGGTGAAAATTTTATCGTGAGCTCCAGGATGCAACTTGTAGGCATAAGCCCAAGCCTCTAGATCACTTTTATCTATTCAAAGATAGGAGGAGGCTGTTTGAGTTACCTGGGCCCAATCTGTCAGGTTCTGAGAAGAATAACCTGATATGCACCTGATACCTAGTAGGAGTCAGTCTTATTAACAGAACGGCTTCCAGGTAGCTCGATCAAATTAAGGCCATTTTGTTGTTCAAATATTAAGGAACAAAAGCATTCTTACAACGAAAAAACCTATTGATTTTTCTTTGTAAAAGTCAAGCAGACTGCCCACCTAGTTTAGATAATATTGAGGCAGCAGATAAACCTTTGTTTTCAAATGGTTGTATTAAAAAGTGCTTAAGTGCTTCTAAGAACCTGTGAGAAAGCTGTTACAAAGTGTGATATGTAATCTAGGTGAAATGGTTGAACCTGTGAAGACATTTAACTCTTCAGCTGAAAGCATTTTTTTTAATGCTTACAGGTATTCCTTTTCCCTAAAAGCTTGCTTGATTTAGGTTTAAGCTCTGGGTCTAGTTTTCCTTTTGCTTCACACCCATGATAAGGAGGAGCTGCGCTGAAGCTAGCAAGGTTGCAGTGGTTTAAAACTGCTGTAAATAAGATCACAGTTAAGCCAATAATGAGTCTCTTGAGACTAGAACTGTGCTAAACTCTAGACATCTTTGAGAGATGATGCTAGAACTTTTTTCTTAAGAGGTCAGGACTGGCTTCTCAAAGGGCACCTGTTTCCAGTGTGGATTTTAAAACATGAGCAGCTTACAGTGAAAGGTTGTGAACTCTGAGACACAGCTGCTACTGTTGCTTAAATGCAGACTCCTTCCTAAGTGGCAGTTGACTGCAGCTGCTATTTTTTCAGTATAACTACACAAGTTCAAACTTGCTTTAGGTGGCCTAAAAGACTGGAGAGCCTGAGTTTGAAAGAAAATTGCCTCATATTTTGAAGACAAAACTCCTTACACGTGCTGATGTTAGTGGCTCTGGTATTGATACCTGTAGTAAAGAGAATCACGTCCTTAATGCTTCTAATTCTATCTTCCTTTCCACTCTGCAGGGAAGAAGTAAATGACAAATTACGAGACATGCCAGATGGGACGTTCCTGGTGCGCGATGCATCAACCAAGATGCAGGGGGACTACACTCTGACGTTACGGTAAGTGTTGAGTGGTAATGTTCTGTGTAGTCAAACCTGGCATAGCTAGTCGTTGTTCCAGTGACAGCAATGGCTGTGTAAGGCTGACGTGACCCCAACAGAGAGATTCGCAAAGGTATGGCAGATCACGGAATGAGCAAATGAGCATCCAGGTGTGATAGTCTGTTCTGTACAGATTCAGTGATCCTGTCACTCACTGAAAAGTACTGTAAGGGTCTCTCTGTAGATTAGGTGGAGTTTGGGGAGGACAGCCACTCAGTAGTGCTGCTTAGTTTCCGAACTGCTAAGGTAAAAGTATTTGTAAACTAGGGCTTTGATTAATAGGAGTGTGCTGAATAGTCTTGTCACTGTGCAGCTCTGGATAATTGAACGCAGTGTCTTTGTAAAAAGAGTATCTTGTGCTTTCTGATCTAAAGTTTAGGAAATGTTGAATTGGAGCCATGTTCATCGTTCAAAATTGTCTGCAAGTGGCATACTTCTCAGAGCTGCTCTAGCCCTGTCCACTACAGTTAGGCAGCAGAACTCGTGTGACTAGCTGCTATGGCTTTGCCAGAATATCCAGCCACTTACCTCTGCCATGCTCTCAAGATTGGTTGTTACAGGCAAATTGGGAGGACGCATAAGCCGCTGCTGCTGTGGCACACCTTTGGGAGTTGCTCTGATATGTAGGTATTAATCTTGCCATGAAATTCAGTAGTCTTATGGTGAGTTTGACCCAAAGCACGCAATTTAAATTCTGCTCTGACTCGTACCTTGAAGCTCAAGACTTGTGTGCTAAGGTTTGGTTTATATACCTGAAGCAAATGTCTTGAGGAACCAAAACTGAGAGCACAGGAAGGACAGAATATTGTCTAAACAGTCTGGTGGAAAAAGGAAGAAATAAACAGTATTTGTGGAAACTGCTAGGATGTATAAATCTGGATAATGTAAAGTCCTAGATTTACAACCATGTTGTAATTCTCAAAAGATTTTGTTTAGGTTAGCGTATCCTATATTAGCATCCATAACTTGAAAGACTTGTTAATCACTGTATAAATGCATACTCAGAGTTGTATACTATTAGTGACCCTGAAGTCCAGGAAATACTGGAGTTTAGTTTTAATATGGCTCTTTTATTCAGCCTTAAGCATCCGTCTTTTCCCTTGCAAAACTTCCAGCTAGGCCTTAAGTGTACCATAAGCTGGCTCCAGAACCAACACACAGGAAGCGATTTGCTTTGGGCTTTGCTCCTATTCAAATAATACGCGAAGACAGTTCTGTGTGTATTGACTCTTAAACTACCTGAAGTTTTCTAGTAGGTAAAGGATAGTTATAAAGGTGTACATATTAAACTGTCTGTCTGACTTCAAAGATTCTTGGCCAGGAATTTCACTGTTGTCTTTGTTAGCAGCCCCAGTGTTGAAGAGGATAGGAGGTATGCAGTAAAGCTTCTAAATGACTCTACTGTTTTACAGGAAGGGTGGCAACAATAAACTGATAAAGATCTATCATCGGGATGGAAAATATGGCTTTTCTGATCCACTGACGTTTAATTCTGTTGTGGAACTGATTAACCACTACCGCAATGAGTCTCTTGCTCAGTATAACCCGAAGCTTGACGTGAAGTTGATGTATCCAGTGTCCCGGTATCAGCAGGTAAGGTCTTCATCAGGCCCCCAGAACTGTTAGCGCAGGCAAGAAAAAAAAATACCATGTATATGATTTTGTTTTCTCCATCTAAAGCTTGATCGTTACTTTTTTCTCATACATGCTTCTTTTGCTTGAAAACTTGCAAAAGTGAATTTTCACGTTTGACCTCACTTTGACTGCTCACACTAGCATGTATTCAAAATTCTCTAGACGTTTAAACTTTCTCCTGCGTTTTATAAAACTACCAGTCTCCATCCAAGCAGTCCAAGTGAAGTGAAGGGAAGTGAAACCCCTGCATGTGGTAGCCTTGAGCCTGTCTGAGCAGCCTTTTTTCCCCTTGGGCCCCTGGGGACCTTCAGGGTACTGTTCTAGACAGTTGAAGTTGCCCTTGAAACACATCTCCAAGCCATGCCACTGCTTGCTGTGTGCTTAGCCATCTAGCTCTAGATATTTTTATTTAGTAGTCTGAGATATTTCCATGCTTTAAGGAAAAAAAAATGCAGAGTTTTTTTCCAAAAAACTCTGATCTTTAACTTCTGATTCTGAGCGCTTCACTTCCCCCCTTTTTCCAAGGCAAGATAGAATCCTAGACTTAAGCTATCATGTATTTCTGGAGCCTTTAGTATTTTAACCATAATTCTTGGTGTCCCGTAATTCCAGTTCCTGCTCTCTTCAAACTGTGGAACTTATTGCACCAAAGAAAGGGGGATTTCAATGTGATGCTTGTGTGTTCTGTAGAAATGTGATTATAAAAATTATGCTAATAGCTGTAGAAATGCAAATGTGTATGAGTGGACCAGTGAATACTCTTAAAGAAAAGCTGCTTTGCTTGAATACATAATAGCTTTTTGTATATACAGGATCAGTTGGTGAAAGAAGATAACATAGATGCAGTAGGTAAAAAGCTGCAAGAATACCATGCTCAGTATCAAGAAAAGAGTAAAGAGTATGACAAATTGTATGAAGAATATACCAGGACATCCCAGGTTGGTTCCACTGCAGCTATCTGCAGAGTCTGGTTCATGTTATTTAAAAAAAAAAAAAAAAAAGTTTTAAAAAAAAGACTTTAATATATTAAACCTAACAAAGTCAGTCCAAGGTCAGAAAGTACAAGGAAAAAAACTTTGATTAAATTGTTTTGGAATTGAGCAAGGAGGTGTGAAGGTTGATGGAAACCCAATGAATATAACTTGCTGGTGGTACTCCTTGAGCTGTGGTGTGGGATAAGGAAGAAATAGGAGCTGAGCTTTCTATTATAAGGTAGAAAAATGGAGACCATCCTGTGCAAGCTTTGCGCTGCAGACTTCTTCAGCTGCTGAATATTTACAGCTGCTGTATGCTGCAGAGAATACTAGAAGGGCTTGGTCCGGGTTCTGTGTGAAGTCATGTACAAATTGGATACCGAATTTTATGCATTAAGGAAGTATCTGATTTGAACATCGCAGTTCAATTAGGGGGTGGTAGGGGGAGGGTGTTTGCCGACGGTCTACCTGAAAACTAAGATGGAAAGCAAGACTAGAATGCTTCTAAGAGGATTTGCTGCCTAATAGAGAGCATCATTTGAGGTTGGGGGATAAGCTTACAGGAAGGGAGTAGAGAAAAAAGGACTACGCAGACTCTTGCACTAAAGTAAAACCTGATTAATCACATTTTGACTTGTAGGGGGAGAAGAGTTCATCTCAGTTTAGGGAACGTAATTGAGTCTTGTGTTGTCATCTGCATCATGAACAAATGACAAAGACTCTTTCCTCACATAGGAAATTCAGATGAAGAGGACTGCAATTGAAGCATTTAATGAAACTATTAAGATATTTGAGGAACAGTGCCACTCACAAGAGCGTTACAGCAAAGAATACATCGAGCGATTTCGCAGAGAGGGGAATGACAAAGAAATTGAACGGTAGGCTCTAAAGTCTTGCTTGCTTACAAGGAAGAACTAGTGTGCATACAAGGATTCCCATGATTTTTTTTAAATAAAATTTTTGATTGTGTAAAACAACATTTAGTAAATTCAGTATTTTCACTGAGACCTTCCCAAGGTATCTGAACCTTCAATAAGCCCTCTTAAGTGGGGAATTGCATTACAGGGGGAAGAGGTGGATTGTTCTGCTTCTAACTGCAGTAAATCAAGATACCGTGGTGAGGACCAGGAAGGGCCATGTTTACGTGTGTATATTTCTAAAACATAGACCATGGGGTTGATATACAAGGTGAATGTATGCAAACCATAGTGTGAACTCAAGAAAAAATTTCTGAAGTGCAATATTTGCAGTGGGTAGTTCTGAATCACCAGGCTGACTCGATAAAGAACACTTGTTGCTTGACCATGTTGTTGGCTGCCTGTGCACCAGCTGCTTGTTGGTGCTACTGAAAGCTGTATGTGTTGCGGAACAGAATTTGCTTCTAAATTCTGTTCTGCAGTTTTTGTGGGGCATCCAGAGACGTTTTTAATCTCCTTCCTTGAAGATACTTAGAACCTGGCCGGACGTAAGGTCCACAAACTGAAAACTCCTTGTGACAGGTGGTAGGCGAAAGGGTGGTCGGCCTTCTGCCAGAAGGTCTTGTGCTTTTCTGGCACTTTTACAGTAATTTTCCTCTCCAGGTGAGGGGGAAGAAGGGAGGAACTGCTGTTGCAGTTGTTCTTGGGTCACTCTGAATATACACTGCTACCAGTAAGGGTCTCTCCCTCTGGATTGGATTGACTTCACCTCTCAAATGGCGTACACTTATTTGCAGGATTATGATGAACTATGAGAAATTAAAATCACGCTTGGGCGAGATCCACGATAGTAAAATGCGTCTGGAACAAGATTTGAAGAAACAAGCTCTGGACAACAGGGAGACTGATAAGAAAATGAACAGTATCAAGCCTGACCTAATTCAGCTCCGCAAAATCAGAGATCAGTATCTTGTGTAAGTAAGCTTGACCTGTGCCTCAAAATGGTGTCTCTGACAAACCAGGTTAATGACTGTTTCCGTCAGGGTAATGGGAATTTAATTTTCTTTTCATAACCAAAGTGGTGTGAGCACTAATGTGGTATTAAACCTTGGCCTGGGATATCTGAGTAGTTGGTTGGCCTCTTCCTGACTTCATTACTTTTACTGCAGTTGTCGGACCTTAAAGGGCCTGCTACAATTAAGTGCACATTCTGCAACTCATGTAAGCAAAGTATCATTTAAGAGTAAATGAGTTATCAACTAAAACCTGTGCCTGCTAATGCACCAGAAGTTAGTTGTTTTTGTGCTGGGGGAAGCAGGTGTTACCCTCGTCCCACTCTTGATTTCACTGACACCTCTGTTACCCAGCTCTTAATGTCCTTAGGCTGGAGTCACTGCACTGGGCTAACTGATTCTGGCAGAGAACAGTGGGAAATGCACTCTCTGAGAAGGTGATGTTAGGTAGTTAGAAGCCAATTGCAGTACCTGTTTTGTTTTCTCAGGAAAACAGACAGCTGTCACAGTTTATATTCAGCTTCTTCCCTGGCCTACACTGTGCAGAGGCAATACCTCTTCCTCAACTGTACTCACCTCTTTCTCCAGTTAAGAGACTGCTTCATGGCTCTTTGTGGCCAGTAGAGGTGACATCTCGGAAGGCTATACAAGGAAGCGCTCTTGTGGAGTGTGCACTCTCTGTGCCTTCTCTATGGTTCTTGCTGGCGGAGAGCAAACTAAGCTCTAGACCGTTTCTCTACGGGACCTTGTGTCTGAACTTCTGCTTGCTCAGTAAGAAAACCTGCACACATACTCTGAAGTAACATATTCATGCTCTCTTCTCCTGGCAGATGGCTCAACCACAAAGGAGTGAGACAGAAGCGAATAAATGACTGGCTGGGGATCAAAAATGAAAATATTGATGAGTAAGTGTCATTGCGCGTTTAATTTTACTGAGAAGTGGTGCACTGATAAGTGGTACATTTTGTGAAGGTTGGTAATATGAAACACTAGTTTCGCTGTAAAGGATTGTAGAGAAAGGAAGGAATTCTCTAGGGGAAGCTTATGTCGTGTGAAACAGCAACTCTGCTGAAACGTTCAGGATTGCAGCTAGGTTGAGAACTAAGTTCCACATTGAAATCTCTAGGATTAAAGGCTGTAAGCTGATACCAAGTGACAAGTAGGAGTCTGACCTCCCAGTTTGAGTGTTTTTTTTAATATTGCTTTGAATGATTTCTGCAAAAAAAAACGCTCAGCTTATTAACTCCTTTACTAAACAGAAGCTAAGTTAACAACTTGATACCTTCTTGCAGCACATACTTTGTGAATGAAGAAGATGAAAACCTGCCACATCACGATGAGAAAACTTGGTTTGTTGGGGACCTCAACCGTATCCAAGCAGAAGACTTGCTCTGTGGAAAACCTGATGGAGCATTTTTAATTCGAGAAAGTAGCAAGAAAGGATGTTATGCTTGTTCTGTGGTGTAAGTCTAGTTTCCTTTTTTCCCCCCTAACTTTTCAATTCACAAATCTCTACCACGTTTCTTTATTCTGAAGAACAAAAACCAGGGCTAGCGTAGGCCTACCCATTGAAACCTGTTGCATGTTTGCAGGAAATCTAGAATGGCAAAAGCTTTCTTGTAAAAAAAAATCTGTTTTGAAAGTGCAGTAACTAGCTCTAACAGTCTTTTCAGTCACCACCATTGCTAGTACAAAATTCTGAAGTATCCCAACTTGAAGCTCTACAGTCATAAGCAATTTAAGGCCAAATTCTCCCATATTTTTATCTGCCAAGGAACACGTGGGAAGGAGAAAAACTGCACTGTAATGCTGTAACATCTTCTGTTCTCATTTCTAGACATGCCAAACTCCAGACCCCTTCTGTTCTGTGTTTAAGATAGTGGAGGATAAAGCTTCAGAGGAGACATTATTTGTGAGCAGTAGTTTTTGTGGCATTCGCACAGACTCAGAAAGAGCAATGCCCTTACCTGATGTTTTGAATTGCACTAGCCTTGCATTGCTTGTTAGTGTTTCGCTTGATTTTTATGCTAGTGTAATGGAGGACAGAAATACTCTGGTTCTATTATCTGAAAATCCTTCCAGGCTGTTTTGGAGTGCAAAATGGCTTTCACTGATTTATTTCACATGAGGCTAATTGCATCGGAAAGCGAATCAGGAAATAAATACGTGAAGGTGTATCACCTCAAGGTAACTGAAGGTTGTAGTGTCTGTTATGTTCAGGATACTGTTTGTCATAGTCGCTGAAGTGACAGGTTCATCAGATACTTCTGCTTGGTTGGTATCATGCTACAAGATAGCAAAGGCATGGCATAATGTAACCTGTTCCTACATGTGACTTGGATTGTAAAAGGCTCCAGTACAGGGATTACATAATACTCGATCTTTTTGGCAGATAAGTTATTCTAGAAGCTTTGGAAATAATGTGTTCCAGTAAACGCTTTGCCAAGTTGGGGACTCAATCGCTATGACTTCAGATAATGAACCAACTTGAACATGTGCCATGCTTAACTTTAGAACACGCACATTGAAAGTTAGTGCTGTATTTCATGAAATACTCTGTAGGTCCTAAGAACTTGTAGATTTTGGCTTGTTCGCTTTGTTGAAATGTTTCCAAATAAGTTGAACACAAAGTTGTAGCTGACTTCAGGTGCTTATCTTCTTGGTTAAGCTCTTGACTTTTTTTCCAAGAAACATGTGGAGAACAGTGCAGTAGGGAATTGTACTGCTGGGATAGAAGAGGCCTCTTATGTGGATTATTATGTAAGAGTATTTAATCACATGCCCTGGAGCGCTGTTTCTTCACGGACTATATTAATCTCCTCCACTTGCATCTACTGGGTACTCCATTATGTAATTTGGTGACTGGCAGGGTTGCTATGTTAGTTAATTGTTAATAGACTGTCACTTTGGGTTTGTTCTTTGATGTTAAACTCTTCTGTTTTCTTTCCTTGCAGAGCTGATGGAGAAGTGAAACACTGTGTGATCTACAGCACTCCAAGAGGTTATGGGTTTGCAGAACCGTATAACCTGTACAGCACACTTAAGGATTTGGTTCTTCATTACCAGCAGACCTCCCTTGTCCAACACAATGATTCCCTAAATGTCAGGCTTGCCTACCCTGTCTACGCACAGATGCCCCCCTCTCTTTGCAGATAAATTGTGGGGAGGAGGAAAGCGTTGGCTATCTTGGATTCTTTTCTACAATTTTTATTAGAACTTGGAGGGCATTCTTTCTCCTTAGACTGCTTGTTTTGCACAAGAAGTGATTCTGTGAATGTGAATCAAAAAGAGGCCTAGCAGCAACAAGATGACAACTTGGGTGTAGGTGTCCTGGTGCTATCTTAAAAGCTCAGCTGTGCTTTTACACTGATACTTTTGTTTCCTTATGAGGGAATAAACTCAACACAATGCATACAAAAATACTGGAAGCAAAACATCGTTTTACGGAGATAATTTTTTGCCAGGCACCTTCAGTGGAACTTCTAATTGGATTTTGTTTTCTCTTGTTCTTGTAGAGGCAGTTTGAAGCCTCTGTTTGAGGCATCAGTAATGTCTTTCAGTCTTAAAATCCAAGGAACTAGGGGGGAGACTCTACCACAGCAATTCTTCTCTGTTAATTTTAGCAGCTTCACTGCGACTCAGCCGAACTTCCAAAAGAGGGCTTGTCTTAAGGTAGCGTGAAATTTGGTGAGAGAAGACCAAAGGAATTATGGGATAGCTTCAGGTTTTTATTTAAGTGGAAAAATGCTTGTAAAGTCGCTTTATTTTTTTTTTGCCAGCAGTAGCAAAGTTTTGGTTTCAATGGCACTACAGGTCTTCACTTAAAGGAAACGTTTATAACCAAATTGAATCCACCAAAACTTTGTTTGTTGCTAGATTGAGCACTTACGGGAAAGGTTGCATTAGCATCCGCACATACTTTCTACACCAAAACTTGAAACAAATAAAAGGAAAAGCTAAAACATTGTGTGGCTTCACAACACTAATTTGTCTGACCTGATATAATTGCTCACTCTCCTCTCTTTTTTTCATCCCTCTTCCTCCCATTCCTCAGCTTGGGATTCTGTTTTCAATTTTTGAAGATACCGTGCTTCAGAATGTAAACTAGAATGAAACTTGCACTCACGTGTTGCAGTTCTCTTGCTGAACAATGACTGACTCTTGTAACACTTGGTTTTGATGTAAAAGAGGTGCACTCTAATGCTTCTGGATGGCTTACTGTACCGAATTATTTCGTGAGGAGCAGTTAAAAGTGAGCATGCTAATTGAATCTCTGACTTGTTCTTTGCAAGCTAGATTCTGAGCTTTCACACCACTGTAGCCAAGCAACATTTTACACTGGTATAATCTAAATTCCCTTGTTATTTTGTATATCACGCAAAGCACAGCAAGGGAAGAGAGCTGTACTCTTCAGTTATTGGGTGTCTGGTACCTTCCCTTGGCAAGGACTGCTGTCAGATACTGGAGTAGGTAGTCCTGGGCTTTGTCAAGTATAGCGATCATCCAATAAATCCCCTCCCTGGAAAGAAGAAAGTAGACACCACGAGTATACAAAGCAGCTTATTTCCACTCCTTAGGATTCTAAAATGAAAAAGAGCTAAGTTTTGGCAAAGTGAACCACTTGGCATCAAAGCATAACTGGCAAAGTAATTGTTCAGGGTGCAACCTTGAAAGTTGCTTTTGTTCTATTATTGGAAGCAGTTCCCTTGAAATGCGCCTATTGTACAGGACAGGAAGCCGACAGTAATGCAAATATGAGAATACACATTGGGAACTTCTGGACCTGTTTCTTGCACTATTGTTGATTTCCTGCTCAAATTGCCAAGCTTGTTGATGTTGAGAGTGTAAAATCATCAGAGACACTATAAGTATTATTTAGCTGAATGTCATGAATTTGTAAGCAGGGACATGACAAGCCTAGAGCACTGAGAACAGTTGCAGGAGGGGTAGTGTAGTTGCCTGGTATGCCCATGAGATATTGCATTTTGCACTTGATAGTCTAGCTAGAGTGCAACCTTCCAGCAGAGAATGCTGTAGATGCCACTTTTCTCATTAAAGGAAAAACTAGGAAACTTGGCTGGGCAGTAGAGGAGGAGAAAGTTAATGCGGGCTGTTCTGTCAAAGTGACCCCGTCATCTCCTTGTGTGTTCCCCCTTCTCTCCCACTTCCCCAAGACAAGGAAAACTCAGGCTTAGCCTTTGCTCTTAGCCTTGCTGTGGAGTGGGCTCCCCAGCTGTACATGGGCATGGAAATTTTTGTTTTTAAAGAAACTTGCCCTACCTCTTGGATAATTTGCAGTTCTAATCTGGTAACTGTAAAGCTGTCATTCTCACCCCTCTTGTGCATCTAATGTTCCCTTAGTGCTGGACTCAGTCCAAACACCTAATGAGGGAAATCAATTCTAAGGCAGAAATGATAGCCAGGTGCCTAATTCCTGTGGAAAAATCTGTGCGAGGAGTGTCTGGATGTTTTCTATGCTTCTGCAATCTCTCAGGGCTCTGCTCTTACAATGTTAACATTTGAAAGTGATGGGACATGTATTTCTGATTCTTGTTTTTGTGGAAAAGAACAAACAACCTGAAGTGTTTTACATCTACCATGTTTTTAGATGGGACTCGGGCTTGGTTTTGTTTTAAAGAAGCAAGGGTCTACTTTCAGGCTCATCAATCTTGGCACACCCTCGAAGTACTGACAGCAGTGGTATAAAAGTGGGACTGTCTGAAGTTTCCTGGTAGCGGGATCTCACTGATCTTGTGAGGTCTTGGTCCGAACTCCAGCCCCGGTTATGCCAATGTAAATACAGTATAATTCCATTGGCGTCTGGGAAGGTATCCTGGCTTTATAGTGGTGTGACTGAATTCAGAATCTGGCCCCTCTTTCTTTCAGATCTTTTCACTAATCACAGGTGATGCATTTGCTGTGAATGATATGCTCAGAGCTAAAAGCCATCTTGAAGCCCCCCCACCCCTCCCAAACCTTCAGATCAGGACTATTGGTGGATTAAGCCTATGGAGTTTCTGTTTGGCTCCTTTATCCTCAGTGATCTTTCTGCGAGTGTCTGTTTTGCCACTGTATCTCTTTGCGTTTGGTTTAGGCGCCTAAAGTCACAGCTGCTAAGATTATTACCCATTTTTTACTCTCGCATGCCATTGCACACATTCTTTTTGCATCAGTTTTGCACTCATATGGCAAGTGAAAATGGGTATAAAACCAACTGACAAACGTAGCAGGTGTAACGCACTGGGCAAGGGCTTGGTCCTGCTGCGTTCATTTTGTTTGGCCTGATTCTGCTTGCTCAGTAGCTTTAGACCTGTGAGAAACAGCACTGCTTCCAGTAGTCATTCCTAACTTGCATGACTGAGAAATCAGAAATGGGCCTATGAGTTACAGGATTACACCCTGTACAAAAACCAGCTGTTAAGCCTAGAACAAATACAGGAAATGTGAACATAAAGGCAAAACAAAGGAATTCAAGTTCTTTTAAAGCAGGAAGATGTGAGAAAATTTTTGGTTTCAAGAGTCAAAATGTAGAGAGGAAAGAGGGGGAGACAGTCTCAGTGTCGGAGCAGCCGTTTTCTATCGGACTGCAGCTAGAGGAGTACTGATTTCATTGACCCATGTTGTATTAAATATATATGTAGAGTTAAATAAATGGGGGGGGGGGGGGTAATGTTGAAATTCTAATATGCACAGCTTCTTCTAATCTGTTTTGAAGTATATTTGCAGGGATCAGGGGTGATTCAGTATTTTGCATTCGTATGGATGGGAATTCAGGTCTTCTTCCACAGTTGCCATTGGCCCCGTTACGTCAGCCAGCCAAGAGTGCCATGTTTTTGAAGTTCACGAGTTACAAATCTTTTCCCACTAGTTTCTTTCTTGATTGCAAGTAATCTTAGAATGGAAAGAACCGACCTAGAAACTCAGAGGGATGTCTTGACGGGTGTTTGGGCTGCTGCTCAATAGAATGTGACACAGTGATACGTGATGGTGCATCTTTTACCCCAGGAATGCTCCAGATTTGATTTTTGTTTTTCCATTTGTTTTTTAATTCCCACAAGCAGTGGGTTGGGTAGGTGATCTGCACCTTTTGTAGCTGGAGTCTCGAGTTCACATCCAGTGCAGCCCGCTGTCTTAGGCCAAAAATTAAACGCTCTTTCCACACTCATTTCTCTTGATGTGGCAGATAGTCAAGAAATTTTCCATTTATTGTGACGGGCCTGATTCTTTTCTCGCTGACACTAGTGTAAGCAAGAGTTCCACAACTGAACTCAAGTTGTATCTGAATTCAAGTTGTAGAAGGGCAAACGTGACATCTTGGCCTTCACAAAGCCAGGCAACTGTAATGGGGACTGTGGAAATGAGTATTGACACTTAGTGCTGTTTAGGGGAGGAGAGGGGAAGAAGGAGGATCTTGGTTGCCCTAAATCTTGTGCACTCTGCGAACTGGGGTGGCAGCATGTCCGTAACTGAATGCTGTGGCTGTATAAAACAGCAGAATTGCTAAAGGAGTGTCACAACTGAAGTTTGGAAAAGCCCCTTATTTGGTACTTGAACAATCTCTCTCTTCTGTTTTTGAATGTCTGTTTATTTTTTATTTTTGTTACACTAACAGGGAATAAAAATCTGAAATGTTAGTGAGTCTTGTATGTTTGCTGCATTATGCAGGCATGAAACAGGTACTGTTTGTGGATTGGGAGGGGTAAGAGACAGGTTCAACATGCAGTTTTTACAAAGCACTGTGATGAGTTAGGGTTTGTCTTGTTTAGATCATGTTGCAAATCAGACTTTCTTATGTGTAGCTTCCTTCTGTTAATTTACAAACATTTGCTTTGGGAACAGCAAAGTCAAAATATATTCCTGAAAAATAAAGATGTGGGGGAGGGGCGGGGGGGTGGAGGAGGGGTACGCTTCCTCAAATTTGCCATTCAAAGCAATCTTGAAAATGCTTTAACAAGTAGGAGGGGACTGGTATCCTAAAGAATCTCTCTGGTTGTAGCTTGATCAAGCAGCAGACAGACCACTGGAGGAGGACCTCTGTCTTTGACCGTAAAAGAAAGAGGAGATGCCAGAACAGGCCCATTCACAACGTTCATGTTGAAAACTTTGGAATAATTTCTTAAGTGTGTGTGCAAGTAGATACATGAGAAAATGTCAGGAAATATAATAGAAGTCCTTGAGGACTTGCTCCTCTCCTTTTGTATTGGAAGGAATCTTGCCTTGCTGATCTCCTAGTTTCCTGTGGCACTAACTGTGCAGCCAGGAGAAGGGAACCAAGTTACTAGCCCAAATCAAAGCAGGCCTGTTCGTAAAGCAACTCGACTAGTTAATTACTGAGTGTGTTTTGATGGCGTTGGATGAAATTTGTCCAACATTTTTGTGAATCTTGCTTTCTGTGGGCAGAAATACTTTCCACCAAATAGGAAAGGAAAAATCTCTTTTAAAAATCTTAAACTCTTTCCTGTTTGTTCACAAGGGCAGATCGTGAGGATTAGCAATATGCTTGTTAACCATTTAGATGATGACGGTGCTTGAAATGCTAGTCTTTGGGGCTGGCTCCATACAGTTCATGCAGAATTTGTTTTTTCTGTTGTTATTGGCATAGACGGTGAGATGGTGGTTTATGATTAGACTCGCCATTTGTTCAAAAATTTGCCTTTACAAAAATGGAATATGAGGCAGAACGAAACAGGCCCTCTTGTCAATAGGAAAAAAAAATGCCTCGCTGTTGACCAGTGTTAGACAAAGCGGCTTCAATTTGACACCCCCTTCCCCAACCTTCGGTTCGTATTGCTGCTGCAAGATTGGCTTTTGCAAACGAGAGGGCGGATATCTTCCGCTGACTTGAGCAGTGCTTCATCCGCGCGCTCGCCGAGGTTTGGAGCAGTCGCAGAATGGGCTTGGGATCGTTTGGAAAAATGATTGTGTCCAAAGACTAAAATGTCCAAGGGTGAATCTCTCTCCCCCGGCATAAGTCTCTCAGCTTCAGTGGCGTTGTGTGATGCTTAGGCCAGCCCTGAGAGGGCCCCAGGGTCTCCGTCCAAGCGCAGGGAGAGGAGGGGGTGCTTGGTTCGCTCGGCTGGTTGGGGTTTGGCTCCGTTTTGTTTTTGTGAGTGACTTCTACATCAGGCAAAGATACGTTTGACTAAACCTGTTAATTTTGTATATCTGGCTGTTTATTGCACCACAGGATTGTAATGGTCTGCATCATATCTGTGTGTGTGCGTGTGCGTGCGCGTGCGTGTGTATATGTACTGTATGTATATAGATATATGTAAAATATATTCACATACACGTTTATAAGCATTAGCTGTAAGTGGCACTGCCCCTTGAAAATAAAACGAAATTCACTGTTAGCACATTCAAACATGCATTTAGGCAAAGTTGGGTTTGTTTTTGTCAAATGAAAAGGAGTTTATTGTGATCATCTTGAGTATGTGCTCTTGAAATTCTAAACTATGGATTTCTTTGGGTTTTTTTTTTTAACTGATTGCATTTGGTTTTATAGTTATTTACTCTGGGACAAAGCATTAAAATTTGTTCAAAGCAAAGGTTTAAAAGAAGAAACCCTCTTGTGTTCCTTCAAGACGCAGTTAACATTTGCACGTTGAAATAGGCCTAAAAAAACCTCCTGTCTAGAGCTGATGTGCAATGGGTGGTATTGCTATATATCACTTTGTGAATGGACTCTTTATATAAGGTGTGGTTCAGTGTAAAGCATGAGTGGATGTTTGATCTCGTATCGAGGGCTGAAATAACAGCACACTCCTTTGTACAACCTTTGCATTAATGTTTCTTTTTTTATTTGAATTCTATTTTCTTTAAGGGAAACTGCATCTGTTAAGAACCTGCTTCTCAAGAAGCTATTGAGTTTTTTCCGTATGAATTCCAGCATGTAACTTTGGTACTCTTGTTTGTTATTTGTGTAAAACCTGTTCTTCTGTCGTTTATGGTGTAGTCGAAAAAGAAAAAAAAAAAGGAATTCATGTAGTTTAACTTTTGAAAAGAAACAAACTGCTTCATAAGGAAACCAATTGTATGTTAGTGTTTTCAGACAAGTCATACTGTAGTTTCTAGATCAGTAATGCAACACTGTACTTGTCACCAGATGTGTTACAAGTTTGCTGTACTTTCTTTTAATAGATGGTTGGGCTTTTAAATCCCAGACACTAAGCATCCTGGGCCTACTTGCTCTAGATCAAAAATGCAATAAAAAATTGCAATAAAGCACATTGACATGTAATGTTTTAGAAGGATGTACTGACAGCTGTTTCTAATAAATTCAGAAATGCAGCGTAGCTGGAATGTCGTGGTGTTAGCTTGTGTGTGTCTTCCCGGCTGAGGCGAGGAGAATAATCTTCAAAAGAGACATTAAAAAACAGAAAATAATGCAGAGATCTAACACTCTCCCGCTTGGTGCTGAAGCAGCATTAGCGCTCCGCAACTAATTGAGTTTCCAGGTGGCAAACACACTGTTCCACAACGCCTGGAACACAACATTCGTCCTGAGCGCGCCTGAGGTTCAGCCGAGCCTCCCCGGCGGCCGCTGCCAAAGCAGGCGAGAGCTGGGGAACGGGTCTGCGTTCCCCGAGCAGCCTCCCGCTGCTCCGCACGGCAGCGAGGAACCACCAGCACCTGAAACCTTTTCTCCTCCTGAGATCGGAGAGGAACGGACGAACACAGCACGTGCACGCTCTCTAACGGATCCTTTCTTTAGCTCATTTTATCGTGGTTTTAGAGGACAGGGAGCCATCAGGTATCCACCATTGGAGGAAAACCCAATTTGCGGGCGCTGATTCTGCTGACTGATGCTTGAGAGAGAAAGAGGGCACACGACTTTGCAAGAGGCCCCTAAGGAGCCTTCCACCAGTCACATCGACTGGATCTGTTCACTCAGTTTTGCAGGAGTGAGGGAAATTACAGTTTAGTTTCCCGATTCCTTGATGAGAACCAGGCACTGGGGCTACTGAAGAATCGGTGAAGTGGGTTGGAGGCGTCACAAGTGTAATAGAGTTGCAGCGACTTCCCTGGCAGCCGGGGATACTCCAGAGGTGCCTCCAGAGAGTCCTTGCCTCCTGGCCAGCACTGTGTGCCTGCCCCAGCCAGCTCCTCATCCCCCCAAACACTTCCCCGTGGCCGTGGGTGCCCGTGTTAGAGGAGCCTGGGCTCTGCTCGGCAGTAGACCCAGGCTTTTGCAGGTGCCATTTATAATCCCCTCTTGTTTTATTAGAAGTCATAGCAGGAGAAGGCACCTGGCACATGTCCGGGGCGGAAGCTAAACATGAACCGCACCTTTCGACACGGGTGCCCCGTGTTTCTCATCACAGCCCTCGGGGGCTGCTTTGGCTTTGCTAGGTGTTAACGCTGCCGCAAGGCGCGAGGTGCCGCGTGCTGGCTCTCGGCAGCAAGCGAGGGTGCCCGACGCCGTGCCCAGGCGCCATCGGTCAAGCAAAACTGCCCGGGGCGGAGGGCAGACGCCGACGGCGCCTCC